CGCACAGACACTCACAGAGGTCGGCGCCCATTGGGCTGTTAGCTTCTTTGCTGTTGCACTGCCTCAGCTTCAAGCAACAGTCTCGGCATTCCCTTTGTGAAGTTCTTTTATAGAGCCCTTGGCTGCGCCTGGTACTGAACACTCCCCATCCATCAAGTGAGGGATGAAGCTGGTCAGATCGCGCGCCCCCTCCTCCCCCTGCGGACCAGCAGTGTTCTGGAAGGCGGCTCTGCTGCTGAAGAAGCCGAGCTGTCTGTCCCCTGCTCCCCTGCTTTCTATGATGTCTCCCTCCAGGAACTTTGAAATGAGACTAAGGCTCACACATAAGAGAAATTAAACGTGGGCTCTGGGATGACCCTGTGAACAAGTGTCATACAGAAAAGAGGTTTTTGTGGGTTTTTATTGGAACATTAAAATCGAGCTGCATTTCAGCCAGCAGCTTCGAGGAACGTCCCATTTTAGGTTACATTTAGGCGACTGTGTCTGTATCTTGAGAGTCGGCCTTCTCCTGACCACTGGGCAGATGCATAGAATTACTACCATCGTGTCTGTTGTCTCGTAGACGTGTTTCCAGTCCACCCCAGCCCCCGAACAGGCAGCGTTGAGTAGACCAGGTGTTCAGGGATGACCTAGGGGTCACTGTTGCTGTGGGCGAGGAGCATCTGGTTTCGCCCTTTCTCTCTGCGTAGCTCAGGTTCTAGGAATTGTGTCTCAGGAGGAGGCTGGTGTTAGCTGTCAGATTTCATGTCCCCTGGTGTGCTCTCCACACCAGCTGAATCTCCTCCCTCTGCTCCTCTCCCTGCCACCGGGTCCTGTTGATCAGGGACATTTCCTGGCTCCTTGCCTTTCTCTGTCTGAACAGTGTTGCCTCTTTGGGTCACAGTTCCTTCCTTTTTCCCCTTGTGAGCATTTTGTGTGCTTTTAGGCCACAGGTGGGGGAGTGAGTGCCAGAAAAACACCGCCAGGCCACTCCTACCCGGTCCTCCTCCTTCCTCCTCAGAGCGCGGAGGTGCTGGGACCTGTGGGTCTCAGCTGCCCTCCATTTCCTGCATGCAGGGATTCCGGCTCCCTCACTTCCTCCTGATGGGTCTTTCTCCTTCTCTTTACCAGCCTAGGGCCCTTCCCACTCACCTCTCCTACCTGCTGCTCATGGGCCACAGGCATTGCATTTAAAATCAGTAAGATGTGCAAACCTCGGTGTGTAAATCACTTCTGACGCCAGGTGTGTTTGGCTCCTTATGACTTTCCTTTTAAGTGGCAGCTCTGGCCATTTAACGGAGCCAGCCTTGTGCACGCCTCTGCCAAATTCAGAGAGAGAAAGACCTTCACTGAGGGGTGGAGAGGTGGTGGAGAGAAGTGTGGGGTGTGAGGTCACATCATGAACCTTATTCTCGGTGTTTATTCTTCTGCTCTGTGTTCCAGTGCCTGTCAGATAGTACTGTTGACTATAAAATTTCTCTCCTCTTGTTTTGACTGTTCTATGAGAGTGGAAACTGGCTGGCGATGGTTTGTATCACGTTGGGGTGGAGGGTCATCTCAAGTCTTGGGCACATAGGTAACTCCTTGTGGTTACAGGTACATTTTAAAACACCCCTCCTAAAGCATTTATTTGTGGCAGTTACCAAGTAAATGAAATCATTTGATGCTTTCCCTATAGCTTACCAGGGAACACGTTTGAAACCTGTACAGTGTAAGTGCTGGAGGGCTCGTGTTTTCCTCTGTCCGTGCAGCCCGGAAAGCACGCTGCTACTCGAAACGTAAGACTGGCAGTGAAATGTGAACTTTAAAGACTCCCGTTAGTGTCCCTTTGGGAATCTTCATAATGCGATACAGTAACTTTGGTGTCATTATTTTGTTCTCTGAATTTAGCATTAATATAAAGCGCCATCATGGGACATCAGCCTGACTGTCCAACCCAGCTTAACAGTGAGACACTTACCCACTTGAAAATCACAGAGTAAAGCATGGAATTAGGTAGAAGCAAGAAACCAATTGTTTTATTTAAAAGCAACAATCGTATCACAGTTAATAGTCATAGCTCTGACTTGTCTGCTCTCGGCCCAGTTCTCTCCCTCTCATCTGGCCTGAATTTTGATAATAAAATGTTAAAGGAAAAGTGTATTTTTCTTACTTAAAACAGAGTCCAAATAATTATTAAATATTTTCAATTTTTAGTGAAAAGCAGGAATAATGGGAGGGTATACAGTTAACATTAACATACTTTTAAAACTAGTCTTTACTTAAAAGTGTGATTTTTTTTTTTAGGTCATTTTTCTAATTTTAGCAGAAACACCTACTGGGCTCTGTGAAGGTAAAGTGTAGGGTAGTTGGAGGGCTCTGCTGAGGCTGTGGGCCCTGGTGGAGCTCCTACGAGTGTGTGTGCCAGGTTCCTGGGTCTCGGATCCCACCTCCCAGGTTTCACATTCCCTGGGCTTTGGTTGTTCTAAGCATCTGTATTCTTTTTTTTTTCTTTTTTAAAAATTAATTTATTTTTATTGAGTTTATTGGGGTGTCATTGGTTAGTAAAATCACATAGGTTTCAGGGGTACAGTTCTATAATACATCACCTGTGCAGGCATCTGTATTTTTAAAAAGCTCCATGGTGATTTGGACCATTGCTGAAGGAGTCTTTCAGCTCGGGAGGGAATGAGCGCCCCTTTCTTTGGTTAGTGTTGATGCTTGAACTTGGCGGGGCAGTGATTCTCGTGGTGCTGAGTCATACACCCCTGATCTGAGGTCTGCATGAATGGCACCCCAGAGTTGTGAGACTGGGAGATGATGATGATGGTCCTTTCTTGCTCTGCAAGGCCCGAGGGGCAGGCCTGGGCTGGTCCCTGCACTAATCCAGGCCTCCATGCACAGCTGTCTCAGTGGAGACGGAAAGGCCCATGATTGGTGTTTCAGCAGAAGTGTGCAGGTTGACTTTCCTGCCTCTTCTTTTTGTTTCTTTTCCTAATCCACAGTCATAATCACGTCATCAGTTAACCCAAAAATGTCCTTTTGAGCTACTTTTTCCCAGTCTAATCCAGTCTGGATTCATGCATTGCATTTAGTATCATGCCTTTTTGGTTTTTATTTTTATTTTATTTTATGGTTATTATTTTTTATTCCCATCCTCTCACCCTCCTTCCCTTTGGCAACTATCAGCTTATTCTCTGTTTCTGTGGGTCTGTTTCTGTTTTGTTTATGTATTTGTTTTATTTTAAATTCCCTCTAGGTTCCCTCTGTGTTGTCACAAATACCAAGATTTCCTTCTTTTTATTGCTGAATAATATTCCACTGTATATGTACACCATATATATATATCACATTTTCTTTATCCATTCATCTATTGATGGATGTCTAGGTTGCTTCCATATCCAGGCTTACTAGTAATGCTGCACTGAACATAGGGGTACATATATCTTTTTCAACTAGTGTTTTTATTTTCTTTGGATAAATACCCAGAAATGGAATTGCTGGATCATATGGCAACACTATTTTTTACTTTTTCTGTCATATTTTTAAAATATATTTTTCTTGATTTCAGAGAGGAAGGGAGAGAGAGAGAGAGAAACATCAGTGCTGAGAGAGAATTATTGATCAGCTGCCTCCTGCATGCCCCCTACTGGGGATCAAGCCCACAACCCAGGCATGTACCTCCACAGGAAATCAAACCCTGACCTACTCGTTTCATAGGTCGATGCTCAACCTCTGAGCCACACAGGCTGAGCTATCATTTCTTAACATGTGCATCTCATTGTGGCATTCCCAAGGTTACAAGACAGGCATACTGGGCTGTAGGTCTGAAGTCCTGTTTTTTAGTACACAAACCTTTAAACTCAGAAACTAGGACCTTACAATCTGGAGATTGGGGAAAACAGAAGAATCCAGTGATGCAGTCAATGCTTTACTCCATCTTCTCTATCCTGAGGTCACCTAATCCTTTCCCTTCTCCCCTTCCTCCTTCCTTCCTACTTTCTGTCCACACTTTCTGCTCTGGTTCTTGCTTTCTTTGTCATTCATGCAAACAAGGAACAAGTTGCAGAGGGGCCTGGCTCGCATTTTAAAACATCATGTTTACAGTACAAAAGGAATCCAAATGAAAGGAGAGGATAGGCAAACAAATAAGATATAGTTATTTATTTATTTATTTATTTATTTATTTATTTATTTATTTATTATTTTTAAAGAAAAGATAGGAAAACCATAGCAGATGACCTGGGGAGAAAGATGGGCATGCTCCTCTCAGCAGGTGACCCCATGGTGGAGTTGGTGGGGAGGGGCTGTTGAGTGGAGCACATGGTCTTCTAGTGTGGACTCAGGATATGTTAGTCACTTATTCACAACTCGCAGGATCTTAGAGCAGGAACAAAGAAGCTTTCTTACGTGAGCAGACCTCCTCTGACTAGGGACACAGTGAACTTGGGCAGAGGTCACTGCAGGATGGCTCATCCAGTCAGCCAGGGGGAGACCTGCAGAGTCAGAGCTCCCCACCTGCCTCCTCTGTGGGAGGCCAGGCCCATGTAGGTCAGGAAGAGGAGACCCCTCCAAAGATACCAGGGGTTCCAGATTCCTGCAGGAGGGCCTGGCGTCCCTCCGATTTCCCAGCATGGGTAGCACTTGCGTTGCGAGAAGTTATGAAAAGCTGTGTCTTCTCCTTGTGACAAACTCCAGCTGTTTCTTGCTGTGCCCTAAGATCCCTGCACTCACTCTTTGTTGTTACTATTTAAGGTTTTAACTGTGATATTGTCGTTTTACTTTAAACATGTGTGTCTTGGTCTCATTGTTAACTTGTAGTACTTTGAAGTCATTCCATCCCACTCAGACTAAGGGAAGATGATCATTGACTTGTTTGTGTTCAGTATTTTTTTTAATGTGTTTTGTTTATTTTCTTTAAAGAATCGGGTGGAGGAGGGGGAAGCAAATGCCAGTAATCCCAGAAGAATGAATCAAAAGCGACTTTTCTTTTTCATTGCAGTAGAAAGCCAGATAAATATCTATTTTTTTTCCTGCTTCAGGTCAGAAACCCTTCCCTTGTCAAAAATGCGATGCCTTCTTTTCTACCAAATCTAACTGTGAACGCCACCAGTTGCGCAAACATGGAGTTACCAACTGTTCCCTGAGAAGAAACGGGCTTATTCCCCAGGCAAAAGAGAGTGATGTTGGACCCCATGATAGCACAGGTAGTGCTTCCAGGTGATGGAGAGGAGAGGGACAGAGGAGAGCCCATTGGTAGCCCGTTAACTTCCTAGCAAACTTTGGCCCTTGGCGCATGCAGGGCAGCCCTTCCCTCCTCCCTGTAGGACTCCAGTCAGAAAGGGGCCCTGCAGAGCATGCAGCAGGGTCACCACGTGGGAGACCAGGGCAGTGCCCCTGGAAGGCTTTGCTGAGCTGGCAGGGAAGAGCTGTCACCCCTCCCCCACCCCCTCCCAGCAGACCCCTTTGTTCAGGCTGTGGGCCCTGCTGGATGTGGGATATGAGGAAGGGTATACAGTTTTAGCTCTTGGTAGCAACATTTCTAAAAGGGATGTGAAACTTTAAAGGCTTGGGGTGTTGTCTTCTCCAGCCCCAGCCTCTACTGCCAAATTCTCCAGAGCAGGGATGGGCTACACAGATGTCAGGGCATGGCAGGAACTAGGGATGCCCAGCCCTTGGCAGGGAGGGTGGGTGTTTTTCTTTTCATTAACTCTCTTCCCAGTAAAACAAAACTTGGTCTTGTTTGAAAAAGCACTCTGCATGTCCTTTCCTTAATCACATCTCTGCCTGACCTGGATCCGGTGATTCTCTTGTGCTGATACGCGCTTCCTTCCTCCAGCCCCCCACAGAGCAATTAACACTGCCCAGTGCTCTCCTGCCACCCTTTCCCCTTACAGCTTCTGCATTTACTCATGTCCTCTATTCAGTACATTTTTTCATCTCCAAATACTGGGGTTTAGCACCCCTCATCCCCTCAAACTAAAAAAAATTGGCTGCTGCAGGTCACTGAGACACAGCTAGCTGGCCGTTGGTTGATAACAGTCTCACAGGTATGGATTCAGTTCTGCAAATCTTGGAAGCTTGAGGTTCCCCCACTGCTTGAAGCAGATGACTGTTCCCTCAAAATGTATTTATTTTTCTAGAGTTGTAATTGTGTCCTGTGCTGCTCTCTCTCAGACTTCGGTGGGGATGGGGAGCTGTGGTGTCCGGGAGTCCTTCCCCGCTTGTCAGATTGACTAGAGGGGTCGCCTTTAATCCCAGGCCCCCTCATCCTTGTCTCAGTTACTGAGGGAGGGATGCATCTGGATGGGTAGCTTATCCAGGAAGAGGATGTGACCCGGAACCCTCTGCCTTCTCCCCATACCTCCCACCAATCCCTAGTGAAACCAGCCCTTAAACGGCTAGGCCCTCTTCTTAAAATCAACCCCTCTAAAGGGTATAAAAATGTTGGCCAGCTTCCATTCCCACATAATTTGCCAAAATCTTTGAGTAAAGTTGTGGACTCCTACGGAATTCTGCCATGACTTGGATCCCCTTGAGCAAAAGGAAGTGGATGACCTGCTGGTCGGCCCCCAGGAAGCCCCAGCAACGCTGTCAGAACTCGAGTTAGCTGCACAGGATGGCTCTTAATGCTCAGCAGTGCGCGCTGAGGGGCCTGGTGGCAGCCTGGCTTAGCAGCAGCTCTGTGCCTCTGCCCACAGTGGTGCCGGAGGAGGGAGAGAAGGGATAACGGAGGTGGTGGAGGGGTGCCCTTGGTTTCGGGGTTTGCAGACAGGTCATAAAGTCTAAGAACGAGTGGCAGATGCACATGAGCTCCCCTTCCTTCCGGGTCGCGCTGAAGAGCCAGCCTGGGACTCCGGCTGCAGTCTGAGGTGCAGACACCCCGCGAATTGGAGTGTGTGTCTTAGCTTCCATTCAGCACCAGGTTTTACATTGTGGTGGGTTTAGTTTTTAAATTTGCAGTTAAGAGTTTTGTTTTTCCAAGTTCTGTCAGAGTCCTTCCTCATCTCCGCCCTGTAGGTTTTCTTTAAAGGAAAAAGCCTCTGGAAAAAGAATTCACTGCAAGTTGTAATGTGAAACCAGCAAAGAGAAAATATATGGTTGGTTTAATTGTGGTCCCAGTCCATGCTGCGAAAGAGGACTGAGATTTAAGAAGGGGAGGGGAGAGGTTGGGGCGGTGGAGTTGACTGGCTTCAGGGAGCATTTTTAAAACCAGGTGAGCGTAATGGAGGGGTGAGTTTCCTTCGGGCGCTCCCTCCCATGAACTTGCAAGTAGGGCCTTAGAGGAAGACCATAAAAAACAAAGGCAGGAAATGACCAGGGAAGTTCTTGAGGGGTTTTCTAGGTTTATATGCCTGGGTTGCATTTTCTTAAAATCCCTAAACGTGTTTTATAACGAGGGTCTGACTTTTTCCATCACATAAGGTTTTTCACGAAACTACACCTAGGTTCCCCCAAAGGAATGCTGAAATGCTGTGATGGGGGCAGTTCTGCTTAAAGGGCATATTGCTCATTCAGAGTTCCACAAACTCCACTTAATTTTTTTTTTTTTTTTTGTGGGCAGAGGTACCCTGGCCCACTTGGCCCTTGGGGAATAGGTTTTTCCTCAGGCAATAGGGCCTTCTGTTTGTGGGCGCCTGCACACGACTTCTAAATCAGCTCAATGTGAAAGTTCTCAAATGCTTTCTTAATGGTGGCCGCCCTGCCCACCTGGGAGCCCAGGTGCCCGTGGGAAGACATACAGCACAGGACGGCCTTCGTGGGTGCAGCCTGGAGTACAGGCAGCAGCTCCAACAGCCTCGCCCCTGCCCAGTCAGATGCAATGTTTAGATGGGTCGCTTTTCACTTTGGCTGAGTAACTTGGAACTTCTAGGAGGCCGTAGATATTTCATTGTTGAGCTGGCATGGAAAGTCTCCACTTTCCCATGGCAGTTTTTTTAGATTTAGCATCACAAATGAGGGACTGATGAGGACAGAGAACTGCAGGTGTAAGGGAGGTAGCATCGCTTATAAAAAAAAGTCATCAGCTACCTGTCTTTAGAAGTGTGGGTGGCTGAGGAGGGCAGAGATCAAAATAGGATCTGCTATTATGATCTTGGTATTCATGAGATGATGAGAAGAGGTTCTATTGCTTCCAAGAATCACTAATAAAAATCAGTTGGGGTTGCTTGGAACTTGAAGGGCCTGGGCTGTCCTTTAAAAATCTCCCCCTAGTGGAAGTTTGCGGGAGCACAGCCAAGCCGCCTCTGTCCACCAGAGGAAGTGAGTCAGTCCGCCTTTCATTGACTTAAGGGTGAACGCTCCATTATTTTTTTAAATGTATATTTATTGATTCCAGAGAGGAAGGGAGAAAGAGATAAAATCATCAATGTTGAGAGAGAATCATTGATTGGCTGCCTCCTGCCCGCCTCGAGCCTGCAACCCGGGCATGTGCCCTTGACTGGAATCAAACCTGGGACCCTTCAGTCCACAGGCCGACGTTCTGTCCACTGAGCCAAACCAGCTAGGGCTGAACGCTCCCTTATTCACACGAAGGAAGGGCCCAGGAGTGAGAATGATCTGACCTTAGAATATTTACGTGGGCTTGGTTTCAGAACTCATTATGATTTTTTTCACGTTCGTCTTAATATATTTTCCAGTTAAACTTTAAAATAACCCATGTTCTTTGGTGAAAAATATTAACAATTAAGAAAACCTAGAATGTACTGGGGCAAGTAGGAAGTAGCCAGAATTTCAGCCTCTTTTTTTTTTTTAATATATTTTTATTGAGTTTTTACAGAGAGGAAGGGAGAGGAATAGAGAGTTAGAAACATCGATCAGCTGCCTCCTGCACACCCACCACTAGGGATGTGCCCGCAACCCAGGTACATGCCCTTGACCAGAATCGAACCTGGGACCTCTCAGTCCGCAGGCCGACGCTCTATCTGCTGGGCCAAACCAGCTAGGGCTAAGCCTCTTTTTTAAAATGTAACTACTACAGTAGTAAGCCAGCAAATATGACACTGAGCACTTTGTGATTTTTTTTTTTATTGTAGAGTTTATACCACAATCCATTTAATAGATGCTCCCTATTGGAATGATTCAAGAACATGAGCATCTGTCTTATCCTTGGAAGTAGCCTCGACATTGGGGTGTATAGCTCAGGATTCCTCTTTAAACTTGTGAATAATTCTCAAAAATCATTGTCAGAAATTTTAGTCACAGCATAATGATTTGTTTTCTTCTGAAACCTTTTGAGATAGACAGTGGCTGCCAAAAGATACAGGCAGAATGAAACCAGTGAAAGGGTGTAAGTTGGAGTGTTGAGCAGACGGTGGTACGTAAGCCGAAGGTGGTACGTAAGCTGAAATGATGAAGCCTGTGGCTCAGAGTGCTGGGGGGGTGGACATTGTTGTACGTGTGGTCACAGCAGGTGAGGGCCCAGGGCGGTGTGAGTGCTGGCTCACACTGCCGTCGGGCTCTCCTGTGCGGGGCACCTCTAACGTGTGTGCTCTGAAACAGTGCGTTTCATCGGCCTAATAAATTGGCCATTGGGTTATAGTCAATAGTAGGTCTCAGCAGACAGCTTCACTGTCGTAGACACAATGTGAAGGTCATTAGGCCCTTGTGTAAGCTGAAGGAAGACAGTGCTTCTGATAAACGCTACCACCGTGTGGTGCCGTTAGTATAGCCACAGTGCCCTCCCTCGAGAAGGCCTTACAGACTGATGGACAGTCCACATCTGATTTTGCTATGGCGAGTGAACAGGTAGGAATAAATGGAGAGACGGGAAGTGCTTCCACTCCCTCCGTGGGGTCCTGACAGCAGCCAGGGAGGTCCACTGGTGTGCCTGTGTCTCCTTTGCCTTGGAACTCCACCTGGAAATCGGGCATCAGGTGAGAGTGTGGACCATAGTGCACAGTATGTGCGTTGGGCCATTTTGTCATCAGACACCATGTTGGGGGTAGTCCCGTGTATGTTGCATGTTTATATGATCTCTGCATTCAAAAATAGCTTTTACAGCTCGGCTCCTTCAGCCTCCCTAGCGCTGTGAATCTCTGGAATGCACCACCTCTCCTCTCTCTGTTCCTTCTCTGTGCTGCCCTCAGTCACTCACACCTCCCTGGGGCCTGAACATCGCTGTGTGTGGCAGGGGAGGGCACCGGGCGCCAGTGGCCAGCGCAGGAAAGCGGGGGCAGGGGTTCCAAGGCACAGCCAGCCCTGCGACCCTGGCCTGTGTGTATGTGGAGGCTCTTTCTGCCTTTTATAAATTAACTCCAGATTCTTTGGGCCCTCGGGGATGGATGTAGGGGGTGATGATTCAGGGCGGGTCCAGCTGAGATTCACGAAGGAGCCCTTGGAAGGGGCAGGTGAGGTGGCGTTTGGTTCAATCCATGCTCTGTGCTTGCTCCCACAGACAGCCAATCAGACGTGGAGACATCAGCTGCAGGAGGCGAAGTGCTGGACCTCACCTCTCGGGAGAAAGAGCGGCCGCGGTCAGAGGGGGGCCCTGAGCCCAGTCAGGTCAGAGGAGAGGTCCCCGGAGAGGAGCTGACTCGGGGAGCCGCTGAGCCCATGGAGGGGGAGGAGCAGGCCGCCGAGGAGAGCCCAGAGCCTGAGAAGCGTGGTGTGGAGGAGCGGGAGGAGGATGAAGAAGATGGCCCCGAGGAAGATACGGTCAGCAACAAGAGCCTGGACCTCAACCTGGCCAGCAAGCTGATGGGCTTCAAGCTGGCCGAGGGCGACGCCGGGGCCGTGCGCGGTGAGGGCTCCCCGCAGGACCAGAAGCACACCTGTGGCATCTGTGGCAAGAGCTTCAAGTTCCTGGGAACCCTGAGCCGCCACAGGAAGGCCCATGGCCGTGAGGTGCCCCAGGAGGAAAGCCCGCTCCCTCCGGAGGGCCAGGGCGAGAGCGGGGCTGCCGGGCCGGTGCCTCTGCCCACGGCCCCCGCGCTGGAGCCGGAGAAGCCCGAGCCCCCAGCCGAGGGGGAGGCCGTGTCAGAGGGCCCAGCAGAGAAGCCGGGCGAGGAGGCCGAGGGCACCTCCGACGGGGAGGGTGCGGCCGAGAAGAAGTCCTCAGAGAGGAGCGACGATGACAAGAAGCCGAAGACAGACGCCTCCAGAAGTGTGACCAGCAAGGCGGACAAGAGGAAGAAGGTCTGCACTGTGTGCAACAAGAGGTTCTGGTCTCTGCAGGACCTGACCCGGCACATGAGGTCCCACACGGGTAAGGGCAGGCCCGGCCGTGGCCACTTTCAGGGAGGACCCGGTCCCAGGCCTGCGAAGGAGGCCGCCCTCCCCCGGAGCCAAAACAGAGGACTAACAAGCCTGCTCGTGCCTGTGAGCCCTGTAAACGGGGGATTTAACAGGCTGTTCTCTTAGCACCCGAAACGGATGGGCTCCTGCAGGGAGGCAGTGGAGTGGTCCCTCAGCAGTGCTGTCCTTGAAAGCACGTTGATCAGTCCCTCTGAGCCTCAGTCTTCCTGTCTCTAGAATGGGGGCGATGTCTGTCCCCTCAGATAAGGAGGGGAATATGCGTGCTGGGCGTTTGGGCCCGTGGTCTCAGCAAGCCCTGAGCCTGGAAGGGGACTGCGGGGTGTGGCCTGGGACAGGCAGTAGGGATAGGTGCTCTTTTTGGAGGCACCTGGGTTTGTCTTTTTACTAACCTTCAGGTGGGAAGGGGGCACCTTGGGGGCTTTTCCTGTCTGTCTGGGCTGCTGCATGGCCGTCCGGGTCTGCGCTGCACAGGCCCTTACTCCTGGGACTCACCGGCGGTTGAGGCTGCAAACCCCACAGCAGGGGCTGTTGTTTAGTAGGAAGGAGACCTGGATACACTCCTGAAGCCAAAAGATGCAAGCACATCGCCACCCCCTCCGCCCAAAGAACCCAACCCAGGCCCTGGTCTTCGTCTCGGCTTTCCTCCTCCCTCCCGGCCCGGCCGGCCGGGTGCACACCTCTGCTCCCCGCACACTGCCCCGCCTCATGCAGCCATTCTGCCCTGGCCTGGGGGCGGGGGTTGGAGGCTCTGGGCTGGTCCTCACAACAGAGAGATATTCTTGGGCTCCTGGCAGGTGGTGGTCTCAGCTGCTCACAGCCGGCTTGTGAGCTGAGAGAAGCCCCAGCTGCTGCATATCAGAACACGGAGTGTCTCCTGCCTTTGACTTGGGAGGTGCCCTGTCCGTAGAGCCTCAGAAACGTGCCTGTCCCTGTGGGAGGTGCCACTGCTGTCCTCATGGGGCTCTGGTTCCCGGATCAGTGTGTGGAAACCCGGGCTGAGGATGACAGGGAGGAATCCCGGGGTGGCACCTGGCGATCCTGCTTCCCCATTTTACCAATTCAGACGAATAAGAGGGTTTCCCTGTAAAGGAGGGCGTCCTGACCCTGCCACCCCACCCCTCGTCTTCCCCTCGTGGCTGCTTTAGTGTGGAGCTGAGAGGTGGTTCCTGGTGGCCTTACCATTAACAAACATTTCTTTCCCTCATTGCTCCAGGAGAAAGGCCGTACAAATGTCAGACCTGTGAGCGAACCTTCACCTTGAAACACAGCCTGGTTCGCCACCAGCGTGTCCACCAGAAGGCCAGGCACGCCAAACACCAGGGGAAGGACAGTGACAAGGACGAGCGGGGTGAGGAGGACAGCGAGAGCGAGTCCACCCACAGCGGCAACAACCCCGTCTCGGAGAACGAGGCGGACGCGGCTGTGCTAGCCAGCAACCACATGGCCGTCACCCGGAGCCGGAAGGAGAGCCAGGCCAAGGATGCCGGCCGCAGGGAGGACAGGGCCCCGGGCCGGACAGCTGGTGCCGGGCAGGCTGAGGCCGGCAGGAGTGCTCCCAAGGCCGCTCGCCCGGGCAGCCCCACGGAGCAGGCGCCTCAGGGTGACGCTGACCCAGAGAGCCCGGTAGCCCTTATGCAAGACCTGCTGGAGCTGAACGGCAAGAGGCCCGCCCACCCCATCCTGGCCGCCGAGGCTGCCTCGCCGCTGCTGGGAGTGGAATGACGGCTCCTCCTGCCCCCAGCACACCGACAAGGCCCGCAGAACCGTGTCCTGAGTCTGTTTCATGAGATTTCCTCAGTGCCTGTCAGCTGTTGGAGAGGGAGACGAGCAGGAAGGGCCGTCTCTCGGTGCCATAGCCTTAACCACGCGCCCGTGCGGGAGAGCAGCACGGACGATTCGAGTGCCTTAACTACTTACCAGTCCTTCAGTGTCGTCCTGGGTGTTGTGTTGTCCCAAAATGACTTTAAAAACAAAGCAAATATTTTAATGAATTATTGGAAAGGACCTTTTCATTTAAGCATTAACATTACTTCTGTGTTGGTGTGTGTGAGCTTGTTCTTGTTAATCTGATGGTAGCATTTGTTCTGTGAGCTGGAAACAGAAGAAAAACATGCCCTTGGATACTCATAGCCAATAACTGGAAGAAAATGATGTGAATTTTCATGTAAATTACCAGAGGAAATATGGATGAGATGCTCATTTCTCATATAGACCTTTTTCTTTTTCTTTTCTTTTTTTTTTTTTTTTTTGTCTGCTATGTGGTGGAGCTGTAATTTGGTCCTCGATATTGAGGATGTGGTGGATGGAGGTTTCCAATTTGGTTCAAGCCAAAACCAGGACAGATTCTAGCTTCGACCTCATACATGTTTTGCTCTTTCAGCATTAGACATGCTAGTTCCTGTTCAAGTTCCAAGACATTTGTTCTTAACTTAGAGAGAAGAGTTACCATGGCAACTTAATCTATGGAGAACATACACAGGTGTCATGTATCTGATTTCCCCCTTTCGGTATATATATTATTAATATTATTATTATTATTATTTTTAGTTCATCAGTTTGCTGGTCTCTGCAATAAGCAGAAACAAATGGGCAATATTTGTCCTGGAGACCTGGGTGCCCCAGGTCCTTGTGTAAGCGTCTGCCTGCAGCTTTCCTTGCCACCCTCGGGTGGGAGCTGTTCTACTGTACTCAGACAAGCCTTTCTTCCGGACTGCAGCGCCCGCAGGTGCAGGTCCTCCCGCGCGTGGCCGAGGAGCAGCTCAGGGGAGAGGGTGCATGCCCCCGGCTCCTGAGAAAGCAGGTGGTGAGGACCCACTCACCGGTCTTCTGCCACACCCAGCCAGGCCTCCCCTCGTGTGCTACTGTCATTTGCAAGGCGAGGAAATACTACTGGTAATGAAACTGCACGTGCAAGATTGAAGATGAGAAATTGATTTATATTGACCTTCCTGCGATTTGGGATTGGTGCTTGAAGATAGACTTGTTTCCAGTTTCTGAAATAAACTGAACCCCTGAGTGCAAAAAGGCAGGATTTTTTTTTTTTTTTTTTTTTTTTTTTTTGTGAGCATCCTAAGCAGGCAATACACTTCCTACTGTAGCTGAGCCCGTGCTCCGTGCTCAGCATCCTGACCTCCACTGGGACCCCGAGGACACCCGAGGCCTAGCGCTGGGCCTCCTGCGCTGCTCCACCCCTCACATCCTCCGCCTTAGCCCAGGGAGCCCCTGCCCTGCCGCCTCCCAGGACCCTCCTCCACACTCAGTGTAAGTGTGCAGACAGGCACACAGACCCTTCCTCACCAGTTTCTGGCGGCCAAAATCCAACCATCCAGACTTCAAAGGAAGCTATGTGTTCTTGAAATAATGAAAGTGGTATCTTTGCATGTGAAAGGAAAAAAGTTGAGGTATATATAATTCTTAACTGTATTAGGGATGTATGAACCAGTTTCAGAACAAGGTTTCATTTGCTCTAGGTGAAGACACGTCAGAGCCGATGGTCCCATTTCCCTGCGCACTTGGTGGGGCCTGCTTAGTTAAACCAGTTCATGCATCCCTTCATTCTTTATGACGATAGTTGTTATTTTCATTGTTGTTATTATTTGGGGTTTCTAGTGTTTTCTTTTCCTTTGCAACTCTCCACACTAAAACTCCCAGTATGTGGAGAGGCCGTGACACAAGTACGCTGCAGCGAGAGGCCGCAGAGCGAGGCGCCACGCTGTGCAGCTCGCAGGAATCACGATCGATTTAAAGCTTTATTTAGCCGCCTCTGCGCCCTGTAGTCAGTATGGTCTTGCCACGTTTTATTAGTGAGGTTGAGAAATGGATTGTTTGTTGTTCTGCCCCTCCCCCAATATTAAACTGTGAAATTTGTGATTTGTTTAAACTCTGGGTGAATCATAGCTTAGTTTGCATGTCCAGCTAATTTGTTTCTATTCATTTTGTTTGATTCTCTTTCTCCTCTCAGGGCTTTTACAAAAAAATATATATATATATGGATCTTCTGAAAAGTTTTTTGAGGTGCAAGTTTTTCTCTTTTTTTTCTCTTTGATTTGTGGACGCAATGCTGAGATTCAGTCACTACATGAAACTCTGGCTGTGAAAAACAGCAAAACCCCGGAGGGCTGCTTTCCCAGCGGCCGGGGGAGCTCTGTGGCAGTCGGATGATTCGTCGTACCTTCAACTCTCTGTTCGCCCCTTTTCTCCTCTCTTTTCTTCAAGAAGGAAGTGATCCTAGTGATTTCAGCCCATGCATTACACAGGAAACAATAATAAATGTAGAGTTCATATTTTTCTAAAGGGAACTTAAAAACTGCTGCTACATGTTATGTGCAAAACTGGTTTATGCCACATGAACAGAATCACAAGATTAGTTTTGGTACTTTTGTTCCTCTTTGTATTCAGTTGTATAATACTTCCAAATTCAAAATGAGAAGAAACGCTGTTCTGTATCAAACCATCTAAGCAATAAATGTCATATTTTAAAAACGACAGATTGCTTGCCACACGGTTGTCCTGTGATTTGCTGTAACCCTGTCAGTTTGTCCTGCTTCCCGGTACCTGGTGGCCCTGGAGCTCAGTTGTGGGGCGGCCTGGTGACAGAGTCTGGAGGAGCCCGCTGCTGATGTGACTTAACCCCCAGTGCACATGGCCCCTCCCAGGCCAGGGGCTGCCCTGTGGTTTAGCAACAGCTAAGGCTGGGGACTCTGTTTTCTGGGCAGCGACTCCTGAGACGTGCGCTGTGCCTTTTCCTTCTCTCGCCAGTTACAAGGGAGCCAGTCGCCCCTGGGTGGGGGAGGGCCTGTGATTCAAGGGAGGGGCTGGACGGCGTGATCCCAGGCCTTGGGGACAGCAGGTCCGAAGTTCTGCCCTTAAAGCAGCGAGTAGGCAGAGTCCTGAATGTTCTCAGCCGGGAGCTGTTCTCACACAGCAACTGTGGAGGAAGCTGAGCTCAAGGGGAGCTAATTGTAGAGGATGTTCAGTGCACTGACCACGCTGGGCCCTGAGGGCTGGTCACAGCAGGATGAGAGCTGCAGGGCTCTGGTCTGAGGCTTCCTCTGCTGGGCCTGCTGCCCCCACACTCACCAGCCACACACACACAGCCCCCCCACACTCACCAGCCCCGCACACAGCCCCCCCCACACACACCAGCCCCACACACAGCCACACACACACAGACACACACAGCCACACACACACACAGCCACCCACACACACAGCCCCCCCACACACACCAGCCCCCCACACACACAGCCACACACACACAGACACACACAGCCACACACACACACAGCCACCCACACACACAGCCACACACACACAGCCACACAGCCCCCCCCACACAGCCCCCCCACACACACAGCCACCAACACACACAGCCCCCCACACAGCCACACACACACAGACACACACAGCCACACACACACAGCCACACACACAGCCCCCCACACACACAGCCACCAACACACACAGCCACCAACACACAGCCACACACACACAGCCCCCAACACACACAGCCACCAACACAAACAGCCACACACACACAGCCACCAACACACAGCCACACACACACAGACACACACAGCCCCACACACACAGCCACACACACAGCCCCCCCCACACACAGCCACCAACACACACAGCCACCAACACACAGCCACACACACACAGCCACCAACACACACAGCCACCAACACAAACAGCCACACACACACAGCCACCAACACACAGCCACACACACACAGCCCCACACACACAGCCCCCCACACACAGCCACACACAGAGCCCCACACACACAGCCCCACACACACAGCCACATGCACACTAGCCCCACACGGGAGACAGCTGGGCCCAGATGCCAGTGCGGGCTCCCGACTTGTTCTAAGTGAAACAAGTAAATCTGGAATGGTGGTACCACAGGCAAGCAGCCTCCTGCCTCTCCCCTCCTCTGGGGTGGGTGCTGCTGGCCACCAGTGGGCACCATTTCCAGCCCCACTGGATGGAATCATCTTCCTCGCGGAGCTGGGACAGTCCCTGGTCCACGTGAGGAGTGAACGGGAGGGAGTGGAACTTAGGGGAATGCTCCACGCACCTACCAACGCCTGTGCTGGGAGAAGGCATATAGGAGGTGGAAGGATGGAATCGCCAGTTCTCCCTGTCGGGAAGAGAGCTGATGAGCAGGTGCATCGGTCAGGTGCCTCTCCCACCTCTGGTGTGAGCCCACTGGGGCCTCCAGAATGGCTCCCCTCCTCCTCCATCCCCGCTCCCCTCCTCCTCCATCCCCGCTCCCCTCCTCCATCCCCGCTCCCCTCCTCCATCCCCGCTCCCCTCCTCCATCCCCGCTCCCCTCCCCTCCTCCATCCCCGCTCCCCTCCTCCATCCCCGCTCCCCTCCTCCATCCCCGCTCCCCTCCTCCATCCCCGCTCCCCTCCTCCATCCCGCTCCCCTCCTCCATCCCGCTCCCCTCCTCCATCCCTGCTCCCCTCCTCCTCCATCCCGCTCCCCTCCTCCCAGATGTCTGGGAGAACCAGGCAAGAAAGACCCTAGGAATATGTCCAGCCTGTCAGAAGCCACATGACTGGAGGGGGTGAGCAAGGGAGGGGCCAGAATGGATGAGGGTGAAGAGGGACACACTAGCTATGTAATAACAGTGGGGTGATGGGGACAAGGGCAGATGCAGGGAGGCCACCAAGAGGCAGCCACAGTCATGCAGGCAAGAGATGGCGGCGGGCTTGGAGCAGAGCGATGTGACAGTGCTGGGAAGGAGCTGAGTTCAGGTATATTTTCAAGGAGCGCCAACGGGAGTGCATGACAGATCAGAGCTATAGAGAAGTCAGCGCTTTGCGAGTCCACCCAGAACACAGGCTCAGAGGTTGGCTGTGATTTCTAGATGCTTGGAATTAACTTTTTAAAAAATATGTTTTTATTGATTTTAAAGAGAGAGGGAGAGAGAAACACTGATGTGAGAAACATCAATTGGCTGCCTCCTGCACACCCCTACTGAGGCTGGAGCCTGCCACCCAGGCATGCGCCCTGCCCTGGAATCAAACTGGGGACCTTTTGGTGCTCAGGCCTACGCCCAAGCGACTGAGCCACACGGGAAGAGGGGGCTTCCTTCCTGAAAAATAACCTTGGTAGAGGATATGTTGCCAAGGAAAAGAAAAGAAATCCTTGGACCTTTCTGTCCACCCCGCCTCCATCCATCCCCTTCTCCGTCCCCACTCCCACAGGAGCTGCTAGGTCCCTGGGACCAGGCCATGGGAATCTCTCTGTGGCGGGTCCCAAAGAAGCAGCCACCTCCTCCCAGTGCGGCTGCTGGGCCTGTCCTGCACCCTGGCACCTGCTCCTCCTCCTTACATACTCTTGTCCTCAGAGAGGCTCTGGGCACACTGTGCCACAGCTGGCGGGCCACTCCCTGAGGACCTGTGGGAGGGACCAGAGGCGGGGGGGGGGGGGGGGGGGGGCGGGGAGGGGGGCGGCCTTGTCCTCTCCTGAGGGGCAGGAAGCCTGAGGATTCCCACGCGTGGCTGCGGCCTGGTGGCTCTGCTGGAGCCAGGTGGGCTCTGATGGGCTGAGTGGACATTCATCTAAGTGGCTCTGCCCTCCTTCCTGATCCCTGTGTCCCAGGCAGAGACGAGTCCGTGATGACAGCGGTGAGCTTGGCGGCGCCTGGTGGTGCCCGTCAACAATCCCTCCCCCACACGTTTTCTGATTTCCTTGCGGAGGAGCCACGGCCAGCAAACGTGGGGCTGGACTTGACCTTGACTTGCTTGACTGCCAGGCGAGTGCGCCTGCCCCACGAGGCGGCCGTCAGTCCCTCTGTGCTGTGAGCTGTGGGCCCAAGCAGGCCTTTTATCACTGTCCCCCCCCCCCCCCCCGGAAATACGGAGATGCAGAGCGTTGAGCAAGCACCTGCCTCTTGCGGCCGGTCTCAGTGGGCCAGCACATGTTGTGTGTGTGATAAAACACACGACACCAGGTGCACACGTAGCCTTCTCCAGCGCACAGTCCACCCTGCGGTACAACCATCACCCCATCCACCCACAGAGCTTTCCACCTAATGAAACTGAAGCTCTGTCCCCATTAAACCCAACTCCCACTCCCTGGCCGCCCGCCGGGGAGGGTCTCCAGCGTCAGCAGGAGCCGTCTCGGGGCCAGCTGGCTGCGCGCAAAGCCCAGCTCTGCCTCTTGTGCCCGAGCAATGGCCTCCGTTTCCCCATCTCTAAGAAGGAGGCCCACAGCGCCTGCCTCCGGACTGCCCCGCGGACCAGATGCGGGAACACCCTGAAGGGCTCGGGCAGCACCTGGTGCCCAGTGGGCACGCGGGGTGCGGCCGGCTCGCTCGCACTGGGTGCGGCGCCTGCTGCCCAGGGAGGCAAGTGGGCACCTTCATCCCCCAGGCTCAGGCCCCTCCTCCCGCCTGGACGCAGGGCGGGGACGGGAGACAAAGGAGCAGGGGAGGGGCGTTTGCCCGGAGGGCCCCGGTCCTGGCCAGCTGCAGGCACCACACTCAGTGCCCAGGGTCCCAGGTCAGCCGGGGCCTTCAGAACACACGGGCCCTGGCCTTTGCCAGTTTGGCTGAGGGAGAGGAATGGGCCCAAAGAGACTTCTGGAGCCTCCCACACACTCACTGCCTGCCCGGGGCTGGGGAAGCGTGGGGTCCCAACCTCGCCCGACACCACAAAGGCTCCCTGCAAGCGAGGAGGGTCCCAGGGAGCAAGGCTTCCTTTGACCCTGTGGTTCCACCGCCAACCGCTCCCAGCCACCAGCCTCCAGGGCCCAGGACCTCGCGGGGACTCGGCATTCATCAGACACCCGCCCTGGGCTGTGGGGGAGGCGCCGTGCTCTCTCTGCTCCCTGACACTGGGCAGCGTCCCAGAAGCCCCCCGTCTCAGCTCCTCACTGCAGGACGGGCCTGTGGGTGGGGGCAGCCCCACCCGGATGAGGGTCGCAGGAGCCAGGATTCCTGCACACGGTGAATAGGGAGAAGCCTGGTGCAGAGCCCACAGCTGGGTTCCTAAGAAGATGGCCGGGCAGCCACGGCAGAGACAGCTGTAGATTCTCCTCTAAGAGAGAAACCAACTCAGCAGGAGGAGTGCGAAGCCAGAGAAGCTTTGGAGCTTGTGGGTCTGAGCCCTCTGGTGGCCACTGCCCAGCTCCGGCCTCAGCCACTGCCTGCGGCGGCCACGGCACCTCCGCGTGTCTGCCCTCCCGCTGCTCACGCCCCCCACTCCAAAGGCTCCTTGAGGGGACCCCAGACGCGAGGAGGACACCACTGTGCCAAGTGCCCAGGGCCCCTCCCTGTCCGTCCCCAGCTCCCCCAGGAACTAGGGAGGACAAGGGTTTATTTTAAACTTAAAATTGAAGGTTGCTCTTTGACAACAACAACAACACAGTCCCCTCCGAGTCTAGGCTGTCAGAGCCAGTGTCCTAAATAAGAAACCAGCGGGCGCTCCGCTCCCAGCTCACTCGTAGGGGAAGGAAGCCACAGCCAAATGCGGCGCGA